TTTGATTTCATCTGTGGTGTACCTCAACAGTATTGTCATTCAATTTTGCAGGTAGTCAAGAATCAGAGAACATGGAAGCATACGTAGATATGGCTCACCTCTTCGCACAACCACTTCAAAATTACAACTAAAAGATAGAACAACCAACACCCCCAACTGTCAAAAATCACTTTGAATGGAAGTCTGAAAAGTACAGAATTAAGGAAAACACATACATCCAGAACCAGCCAGCAAGCTGGTGCCATATTTGAGACTCCATCAACCTGGCTAATACTGTTTGACCTCCCTTGGCGATCCCCAGAGACTCTGCTCCACCTAACATGCAGGCCACTCAAACTGTTTTCCCATATGAATAACTGGCCTTGGCTCACGCTTGGTAACTTATCATATATCTTATCATGCAAGGAACAGATAGCCTCAATGAGTCACAGGCCTGGCACTAGCAGCAGCCAGCCTAGATTTATAGCTTGGTTTTGCCAGGGAATCTCCAGCACAAGTAGCAGCCATCTCAGATTGCTTTATAGTTTAGACAAGGAGGCCCCAGGCAAAACACATGTCAGGGCTTGCAGGGGGCCACTTTTAGTGGTATCGGGGACTGTAGTCCCTCTCAAGCTGGGGCCTGGGAGAGGACCCATAAGACTTGGCTGGAACACAGGTAATGTGGTTGATAGGCAAGACTCAATAATAACTCCGAGGGCCCCCAGGGGAAATCAGGCCTGAAAGTAAATTACACTCCTAGAAGCATGCTTTGTTTCTCCCTCAAGCTCTGTTAATCTTATACCAGACAAGCAGCTCAAGGCTGAGAAAGAAATTTACAAAACTCCTGGACCCACACCCAAATCCTACCTGGCTCCATGTTTGCTCATCTCAGACCCAAGCAGTTGGGTGTGTCCCTGCCACTGTCTTCTTTAAACATCACCTATTCTCTGTAAGCTTAAGTTACTGATATAATTAGATTACCTATGCATTCCTGCTACATATCCCCTGCTTGTAACCATCTCAGTAAAAGCCATTGAGCACAGGGGCTCCGGGCAGTCTTCTTCAGAGAGAATCACCTTCCCCTTTCCTTGACAGGCAAATGGTGTCTGGAATGACACTTTCATTTGCAGTGAATCGTGGGATTTCACAGGCCGGAGTCCCCCATAAGGGCTAACCTTGGCCTATGTCACCCAGGAAATCCCAAAACCTGCTCATCCAATGGACAGCTACAGACCATGTCAGAGCACCACAACCCTGTCCCTGCACAGCTGACTCTCCACAGAGGGTGGAGTTTGATGGTAAATGGTCACAGCCATTCCTTATAGTTGACTGGTCTAGGTAAATCCCTTCCATTGATCTGCCAACAGCAACCAAGGCTCAATTACACGAGTAGGGTGTACTCAGCCCACATGAAGGTGCCCCTCAAGTATCCAGCTTGGGTAATAGGGGAGGCTATGCCCCTGGACTAGAGGACACCTATTATACTAGGCCACTCTATCATATTAGGCCACACTACCAAAAACATGGAGTCAAAGCAGTTCTACTTAATACATAGAAACAAACACAGGGATTTTGCCAAAATGAGGAGACAAAGAAACATGGCCCAAATGAAAGAACAGATAAAAACTCCAGAAAAAGAGCTAAACAAAATGGAGATAAGCAATCTATCAGATACAGAGTTCAAAACACTGTTTATAAGGATGCTGAAGGAACTTAGTGAGGACCTCAGCATCATAAAAAGGATCCAATCAGGAACAAAGGATTCATTAATTGAAATAAAGAACAATTTACAGGGAAACAACAGTAGAGTGGATGAAGCCGAGAATCAGATCAATGATTTGGAATATATGGAAGCAATAAACAACCAATCAGGACAACAAGAAGAAAAAAAGAATCCAAAAAAATGAGCATAGTATAAGCAGCCTCTGGGACAACTTCAAGAGGTTCAATATTTGCATCATAAGGGTGACAGAAAAAGAAGAAAAAAAGCAAGAAAATAGAAATCTATTTGAAAAAGTAATGAGAGTGCCCTGGCCAGTGTAGCTCAGTGGATTGAGTGCTGGTCTGCAAACCAAAGGTTCGCTAGTTGGATTCCCAGTCAGGGCACATGCCTGGGTCCCCAGTAGGTAACATGCAAGAGGCAACCACACATTGAAGTTTCTCTCCCTCTTTTTCTCCAACCCTTCCCCTCTCTTTAAAAATAAATATATGCATAAGTAAATAAATATTTTTAAAAAAGAAAAAAATAATGAAAGAAAATTTTCCTAATTTGCTGAAGGAAATAGACAGCAAGTCCAGGAAGCACAGAGAGTCCCAAAGAAGATGGATGCAAAGAGGCCCACTCCCAGATACACACATCATAATTAAAATGCCAAAGATTAAAGATAAGAGAGAATCTTAAAAGCAACAAGAGAAAAGAAGTGAGTTACCTACAAAGGAGTTCCCATAAAACTGTCAGCTGATTTCACTAAAGAAACTTTGCATACTGGAAGAGATTGGCAAGAAATACTCAAAGTCATGAAAAGCAGGGACCTACAGTCAAGATTATTCTGCCCAGCAAAGATATCCTTTAAAATTAAACAGCAGATAAAGAGTTTTCCAGAGAGGAAAAAATTAAAGGAATTCATCATCACCAAGCCATTGTTATATGAATTGTTAAAAGGACTTATTTAAGAAAAAGATCAAAACTATGAACAATAAAATGACAAAAAGAACACAAATATATCAACAATTGAATCTAAAAAAACAAATAAACTAAGCAAACAAGAGGCACAGAGACAGAATCATGGATACAGAGAGTGTTTTGATGGTTGCCAGATGGGAGGGGGGGAATGGAGGAATAGGTGAAGAGGTGAAGGGATTAAGAAGTACAAAAAGGTAGTTACAGAATATCCTTGGGGATGTAAAGTACAGTATAGGAAATGGAGTAGCCGAAAAACTTATATGCAAGACCCATGGACATGAACAATGGTGGGGGGATTGCCTGAGGGAACAGGTGGTGCTAGGTACAGTGGGGCAAAGGTAATTTAAAAAATAAAGGTAAAAGAGACATTACAAAAGAATAGTAATAAAAAGTTTTAAAAATTAAAAGAAAAGAATCAGATCAGGCTCTTTGATAGTCAAAATACACAGATTTAAACTCAAGTCCCTCTCCTTATGGATTCTGTGACCTTGGGGGAATTAATTAATCTGTCAGTTATTTAACAGTCAAAATTTAAAAAATTTTAAATAATAGGAGCCTCAGAGTTTCTACAAGCATTTATTACATGAAGGTGTTTAGGGCAATACCTGAAATATAAGAACTCAACAAATTATAGAGACATTACTTGACAAACAAATACTACCCATATATTTCATATATAAATGCATTTATATTTCATTTATATATACCTTTAAGTATATCATATATGTATATATACACATATGTGTGTAGATAGACAGGCATATAACACTTTTTTTTAAGTTTTTAAATCATAGGCTGTCATATTGCGGAAGGGGAAATGCTTGGTTAGGAAGACTGGCTACATATAATAAATAGAGTTCCCATTTTTTGAACACATGCTAAAAATGTTATTTTACAATCAATAAAAGAACCAGCTAGATGTTATAACCAGTTAAAAAGAGAATTGTTTAAAAAAAAAACACAAGAGTATTGAAATGAATATGCAAAACTGGGAAGTCATTTGAGGATATACTTGAAGGGAAAAAATTTCCATTCCTCTCACTTTTCTACATTTTACATAGTTGTAAAACATCTTCCATAGAACAGATAAACTGAAGGGGTTTACCCGAATGTATAAATAATGCATAGTTTTCTATTAATACCCCAGATTTTTCTGCACACATAAGGCCACTAAAGTATAAAGTCCGTATTTTCTGTTACGTTAACTGTAAGATACATCTGACTTTTTTCAAGTATAATAAAATACATTTCATGAAAATACATTCATGAAATGTATTTTATTATACTAACTCTAAAATGGTATGGAGTTACAGAGGGATTGGCGCTTTTACAGAAGTGGAATTCATTGCAAACTATTTCATAACCAAATTCGTTCTATCTTATTACTGGCACCTGATCTGTTACTTGCTGAAGATAAAAACTTGGGCAGTGTTTCTGACCAGGTCTTCTTTCTCATGCCACACATCAACCTGTTACCAAATCCTTGTGTTTTACTTCCATTGCTTGTATTCAATCCAACCAGTTCACTCCATTTTTATTGCCCACTTCCAAAACCAAGCTTGTATCACTTATAGACTTTCTCTTTGGGCTACTGCCTGTCTTTGCTAACTCAACACTCAATTTATGGCATTCAAATGTGATTACTACTGCCTACACAGTTAGAGACATAGCATAAACTTCATACTTCATATCAAGCCAATCCAGTGTTTGCTTGAATAGACATCTAACATAATTCTCAGAAAAGCCAGGTGTGTTTCTAGACTGAAACTTTGGCGATGTGCTTTCAGGTGCCATGCAGAGCGTTGACCGTAATGTGTGATTTGCCATATGTGGAGGTTATCTTACTTAAACACTAATCCTTTCTGTAATCCCTAGCCACCTGATCTATCTTGATTTTAATCATAGAAAATAAAATGGGAAATAACTGCAGCCCTAGCATCCCTTTTTCTAGTACACAGAACATATATTCAGCTTTGCCTCCAAAATTTGTTTTATAATTCTGTCAAAATTGTTGATAACAGGTATTTAGTTGTTTTAGGCCCAATAAAAATTCACCAAAAATCCTCAGTTTTAAAAATGAAAAAAGCAGAAGAAATTGTATATCCAACATAAACAATACTAGTCTTTAACTATGCAAGTAAACATAAAAACTTTAAAAAGTTTTTCTGTTGTTTCGATAGTGAATTAAAAAATTTCAACAGCAGTCTTTTAAAAGTCTTTGTGAACAAGTGCTTTGTTTTGTGTCTTGACTTCACAGGAAGTTCCCCTACATGAACTTAACTTGGAGGTTTGACTGAATAAATTATTCCTTGACTTTTGAATTATTAATCTTGGCTGCATGGTATGCAAATCAGACTGCACTAACTATGTCCAGAGGCACAGGACTGGCTCAGAAGCTCTATAAAGTTGCTGGCAAAGGATTTCTGTTCAGAGATCAGGACCTTCCGACAGAACAGTAAGTTATAATTCAACTCATGTTGCCCAGGTATATAAAGTAATAACAAACCTCCTGTTTGTATGGGGGTTTTTGAAAAGTGACTTGTGTTCAATTAAGGCTTAAATTAATGTTTAAATGAACTGTCTGAACTCTTGTTCATACGTACATGTAGGACAACAAAGGAAACTAAAAAGAAGTCATGGCTTTTTTTCCTTTACAGTTCTTTTTTTAACAAATTTAATGCCTTGTTTTAATTGGCAAATACTAAATGTATTCTATTTAAAGAATTTGATTATATTTGCTTATGTCTTGGTAACTTACATTTCAACAAAAAAAAAGGACTCAGATTTACTTAAATAAATATGACTATTTGAAAAAATGTAAAGTTCCTAAATCATATGAAACTATTATATATAATATTTTCATGTTTAGAAAATAATGAGTTACAAGAAATTTTAAAACTTAACTTTAGCAATTATGTTTGAAAAAATTGCATTATTCAAGAATATAATACATTAAGGAAGAATGGAAAATTGCAGAAACCATTGCTATTATACCTTCCAAAAAATTTTATAATTGGTGAGATATTTTTCATAAAAACCCAGTTGGATACCATCGTGTAAAATTTTAATACTCTGACTTCTGGTATAATTTCTGCAATACATGAAACATCATGTGATTGATATTAAATTATTATATCTTCTCAGTGTGAATATAGTCTTTATCCAAATTGCTTATTAATGAGAAAAGCAATTTGATCAAAAAATATTCATTAATATGTAAATTTGGCTTAAAAAGCAGTTAAAATTAATATTTCATAAATGTTCTTTATTGTGATGATTATAAGAAAAAATTTTAAAGCTAATAAACTACCAAATATGTTTTTAATTTAAGTCTTAAAAATGTACACTTTAAAAGGCTGAATATAAACTAAGTGAAAGAAACAGTATTAAGTTAAAATTTATAACTGATCTGCTCATGTGAGTAAATTGAATATTTCTTGTAGTTTAATAATTCTCACAGATGTAGGTATATTTTTGAATATATAATTAAGATTTCACTTCAATTACCAATATCTAAAAATAAAAAACCTATTAAAAATAATTCAGTAAAATCATATATAACCTATTTACTACAATCTGTATTTCCTAAAATTTAAAAATCCAACCACTAGAAAGTGGAAGAGAGAATATTAATTTTTCATGAGAAAATTTCCCTTCAGTTGGGAATTTTGCTTAAGGGATCAGCTTATTTCATCAATTTGTAGAATTGAGATGGTCACACTGAAAACACACTGAACTACAAACATCATCCACCTTGTAATCTATAACCCTGGACATTGTGGCTCCTGGTGAGTTTACATTGGTTCGCAAATATTTATAAAACTACAATTTATTAATATTAAGGTGTTAGAAATAATATTTTTAAAATTAAATCTATCAAAACATTTAAAAGCATCATATTTTTGTAAAAATAAATTAAAATAAATATTAACTGTAGGAGGTTATTCAAATATTAGGAGGGGTTGGTTTATAGGTTTGCAGACAATTTTGACTTCTTTTATCTGCATTTTCTGAGGGTTACATAATAAAATGTTAAAAAAGAAACTACAAAAGAATGAAGTAACCACTCTGAGAAGCAGGACAACAGTGACTAGTTATTCGTTTTACTTATTTTAGTCCTGGTATTGTCTATCTTTACTATCTCCCTAATCTCCAATCGCAAAAGAACTCTCCATGGTTTTAACATGGTCTCCAAATAGCCTAAGTGTTAGCTATTGGTGATCTGCCTTCTAGTTAGAGTCCTCGTAGCTGTATTTCTATATTTTTCTTTCATGGCAGTCAAACCTTTCTGCTGCACATACGCTAATGACGGAAGTCAGTGCAGTATGTTGAAGGACTGACTAGGCAGAAAAGTAAGAGTTATGGCTAGAAAAAAGAGGAAATTTAAAAAAATAAAACAAGCTTTTTGTCTTAAGGAAATTTTCTATTGTTATAATATTCATTTGAGTGCGTACACCAGCATTTTGAGTATTCCCAAAAAAACAAAGTTGCCCAGAACTGAGCTTTGAAGAGCTACAACATTTAAAGTTTGGGCAAACAAGAATTAGACCACAAAACGGTCTGCAGAGAGAGAAAGGAAGACAGCAGGAGATCGCTACGCCAAAGGGGGTTTCGGGGGGTGCTGTGCCCTGAAGTTGTGGCATTGAGAGCAGCTGAGAATAGTTAGAAATAATAGTGAAAAATTGCCATTGGTCTAAAAAAAAAAGCTTATTGTTTTTAAAGACCTTTTTTAAAAATGTAAACTTCGTATTGCATATATAAGAATTTTAATTTTTAATATTATCAAATATTAAATATGCTGATACAAGGAAAGTAGAAAGTCTAGATAAATCAAAAGAAGAAAGCACACAATAAAAATGATCTGGAATCTTATCACTAAGGATAAAGCTATTAATACTTTGGTACATGTCATAGACTTTCTAATGTTTGTTAATTTCAGATGTGAATTCCTATGTCTTTAATTACCCTTAATTTTTAAAAGTTATCCTAGACAATATATGTTAAATTTTTCTTTCTATAGGCGTGTGTCTACAAAACATTTACCATTGATAAAATGACCATTTTTTGAATATTAATCATACTATATGCACTATCTGTTTTTATAGTGAAATACAGCAATGGGCTTAATTTGGTGGACTTACTACTTATCTGATCATGGAGAAAATATTTATAACAATAATTTCTAAACAGTCAAGTGTTTATATTAATCTCTCTACTCAGCAAACATTTATAAACCATCTACTACCTGGTAGTCATCGTGCCAGGTATAAAAGATAAACTATGAGTAAGATAAAGTTGAGAGAAATGCTAAGAAGAAGCTCAGTGTAAAATGAGAAGGTAAAATGTGGAGACTTAACTTAGGCTGGAGGGTTAAAGAGCTGATCTTGAGAAACCCACACTTAGACAATATACCCGAAGAAAGTGTAGGTATAAGACACAATACACGATGAGGCAAGAACAGCAGGGAAGAAGATCAGTGATAAGAGATTCAATAAGAAGGAAAGCTCTCTGTGCATTCAAAAAAACCAGAAGGAAGATGAGCAAGAAGAGTAATGCTAGGTGAAGCGGAAATGGAGCGTTGGAGCCAGACCATGCTGGCCATGAAGTCCTCATTAAAGATTTGGGAGTTTATTCCTTAGGCAATGGAAAACCAGGTAAGCATTTTCAATGAGGATAGTAATGGGATGAGAATTTCAAGTGTAGTTTTAACTATTGTTTGGCTGTCCTGTTGAAGGGAGACAGAGATATGCAGAAACCATAAGAGGGTATGGCCTAGTCCAGGATGGGGAGGACTGACTGGGCCTGGCCTAGAACGGTGACGAAGGCGTGGAGTGTAGAAATGGCTTTGAGAAATATCCAGGCACGATAATCAACGAGCCATCTATAACTTACCTCCAATTCCAAGTAATTACAAATAAACTATAGTTGACGTCAAGGATGCTTTTATATTTCTGAGGCAAAATGACCTGGGTATATATGACCTGTATTTTGCCATGTATAATGCAGACTTTTTGGTCCAAATTTTTGAGGGAAAAATAAAGATGTGCATTATACATGGGTATAATGACTATATATCATAGGTATAATAATGGGTATAATAACCCTAAGTAGAATGGTCACAAAATGTGGGTGTGCGTTATACACAGCAAACTTCGGTAGGGAGGCCACTGAGGGAGAGAGGTGGAGGCATAGCAGAATCAGGAAGGAAGGTGGGGAGTTTAGAGCAAGGTCTCTGGAGGCACAGGTGCCTCTGAGAGATCTACCAGTGGCAGTCAGTATAAACGACTAAAGCTTGTAAGACAGGTCCAGGTTGGGATATAAATTTGAGAGTTGTCAATATATGGATGATCATTAAAGCTAGAAAGTGGATGAGATCGTTCATGAGGTGTCTCGATGAAGAAGTTCAATACTGAGCTTTGAGGAACTCCACATTTAACAATTAGGCCAAGAAAGCTTAGGCTACAAAAGAGCCTAAGAAGAACAACCAGGCAAAAAAGAAGGAAAATCAGGAAATTGTCATTTCATAGAAGGTGAAGGAAAAGAGGGTTTCCAGAAATCACAGTATAAAAAAAAGAGTGGATAAGTCAAGAAAGAAGACTGATGAAAAATGGCCATTGGGTTGAGCAAAGTGGGGGCTATTTTGGTTGAGTGGGGTGTTAGAAGCCAAATGGGGGGTAATGGGAAAGGGGTGTCAAGATATCAAAACTGTTAGTGAAGACAGCTCTCTTTGTAAATCAAGCTATGACAATGAGAGAAACATTGGAAACCAGGGAGAGTTGTTTATGTCCCCTTATTTTTAAGACAAGATGAAGAGTATTTATATGCTGAGAAAAAAAGATGGAGCTGAGATGGAGAAAAAGGCTGAATAGACGGGAAAGAGAGACTTTGGGCAACTAGCAATCTTGAAATGTTGGAAATGAGCTGGATCTGAAGTAAGCCCAGGGGAACCGACATTCTCTGTTGTCCCAGAAAGGAAGGAGAGGAGAGCAGGTACGGAGGCAGGAACCAGAGAGTGGGCACGCCATGAATGAGCTCTAGCGCAGGGAGCTCAAAGACGAAAGCATCTGCTAATGCTGAGTAGGGGGAAGAGGCTTGAAAAATTGGAAATGATATAAACTTGAGAACTGCAATAAATTACCAGAGATGAGAGAGAGCCGTAGGATCGGATAAGCTCAGAGATGGAGGAAAGCCAATCTGCTCAGTTTCTCAAGAGTGTCCACTTGTCTGCGACCTGAGGAAGTTCCTGTCCAGCTTTGTCTAGAGTTGGACTTAGTGTCAGGTTGCCATGGAAGGACTTGAGGAGAAGCTCAGAGGAATTTAGGATGTTTTAAAGAGTGATTTAAAAAAACAACAACAACATCAAAATGTTGAATTTGTCATATCTGCAATTCCATGAATTATTTTCATAAGTAAAACTCTCAAAACGCAAGCAATCTTTTACTGAAATAGACCACTTAAATTTGACAAAAGTAGATATGAGTCTCCTAGATGCCTTCATGATAGCGAATTCTGCTCATTGTCTGCATGTTTCCCAGAAAGAGCAGTTCAGGTCTATTTGATCTTATTTGCTCTGCTTACCAAAAGACTGTGTTGAAAGAATCATTTGACTGCAACAACCAATGCTCAGAGTTCTAGTTGACAAAGAGACTTTGGGGAAATTTTATTTTCAATCTTGCTTTTTTCCTCACTAGATATAAGTAGGATTCAATGTTTAACAATGGCAATGCAGTACATCTTTGAAAAAATTCAAGTTAAGTATGCCACCCAACCACAAACAGTGGCCTTATTACAAGAGCAAACAAGGCAGGTGAGCAAGATGTCTGAGGTTTAAATGAATCAGAGTGCTTATTTTCATGACCCCTGTTCAGAGGATGCTATGATGGACATCTTTCACTAAATGTATTACTTGAGGAAGACATCTGATTTTCCAAGCCTCAGTGACTTCATGTGTAAAATAAAAAGATTAACAGTCCCTACCTCATTCCTAAATGAGACAGTCCTTGGAAGATGGAGAACACAGTGTTTGGTACACTATGAGCTTTCAGTAAATAGTCACGGCTATTATTATTATTACTAAGATTTTTCAGCTTTATAATATAAATTGTAAAAAAATCATGTTTCCAAATTAGGGTTGCATTTCACATATTTAATAAAATAAGCATAATACTTTAACAACATAGAAACAAAGTAAAAGCTATAAAACTATCAAGACAGGAGTTGTAACAATCCTTGTTTCTTCTTCTAGATTATGGTTCAATCCAATTTAACTCAACAGAATTTGTCAAACAACTACACTATCCCGGGGACCATGGTAGGTCCTGAAGCCTTTCCTCTTCACTTACTTCCCCACACTTTCCATTGGATTTTTTTTGCAGTTTTCCAAATCCTCTATGTGTCTTTCCTCCTCAAGGTTTTAGCACATGCCTTTCCTCGTGTCTGAAATAATCTTCATCGTTATACAGGGTGGGACAAATGTAGGTTTACAGTTGTGAGTACCCAAAACACAGAGTTTATTCTTATATTATTAGTTATTAATTATTTTCCATACGAACAACTGTAAGCCTACTTTTGCCCCAACCTGTATGGCATTCACTTATTTTTTTTTAATTTCCTGATTCTTCTTAAGACATGATAAGTTGATTGAGATTAGAAAGTTTTGTTTAACTCAGTGCTGCTACCCGCACATAGTTCAAAGGTATCAATAAATATTTTTTGAAATATTAGTGTTACATATGTATACATATGTACTCCTTACTAATGTAAACAATTCTTCATATAACTGAACTTTCAAGTGTTATTTTAAAATCATTACTGTGTTAAGTACAGTTATATCTTTAGTCATGTTCTAGCATTTTGTCCTTATATTTTCTCTCTTTTTCAGGCACAGAACGCATCTTGTGAAAACTGGCTGGCAGCAGAGGCTGCCCTGAAAAAGTACTACCTGTCCATTTTTTATGGGATTGAGTTCATTGTGGGAGTCCTTGGGAACAGCACGGTTGTTTTTGGCTACCTCTTCTGTCTGAAGAACTGGAATAGCAGTAATATCTATCTCTTTAACCTCTCTATTTCTGACCTGGCTTTCTTGTGCACACTCCCCATGCTGATGAAAAGCTATGCCCACGGAACATGGACATATGGAGATGTGCTGTGCATCAGCAACCGATACATACTTCATGCCAACCTCTACACCAGCATTCTTTTCCTCACTTTCATCAGCATTGATCGCTACCTGCTCATGAAACACCCATTCCGAGAGCACCGCCTGCAGAAGAAAGAATTTGCCATTTTAATCTCTTTGGCCATTTGGGTTTTAGTGACCTTAGAGCTCATGCCCATGCTTCTTTTTATAAATACTGATCCATCTGACAATGGCACCCAATGCAGTGATTATGCAAGTTCTGGGATCCCCGAATACAGCTTGATTTACAGCATGTGTCTAACCTTCTTGGGATTCTTATTTCCACTTTTTGTGATGTGCTTCTTTTATTACAAGATTGTGGTCTTCCTCAAGCAGAGGATCAGGCAGCAGGTCACCACTCTGCCCTTGGAAAAGCCTCTCAACTTAGTCATATTGGCAGTGGTGATCTTCTCTGTGCTTTTCACACCCTACCACATCATGCGCAACGTGAGGATCGCCTCCCGCCTGTGGGGCTTGAGGCGGCACCAATGCTCGCAGGCCATCATCAGGTCCTTGTACATCCTCACTCGGCCTTTGGCCTTTCTGAACAGTGTCGTCAACCCTGTCTTCTACTTCCTGGTGGGAGATCACTTCAGGGAGATGTTGATGAGCAAACTGAGGCACCACTTCAAGTCCCTTCCATGTTTTAGGAAATGAGCTAATGGACTGACGTTTTCATTCAGAAGAGAACGAGGTGCCTGGGCAACAGAAAGTTGTACGCAAGCAGTTATAAGCCAGTTAGAGTTTGATGAACTCATAGTTGTAAATCAGAGAGGGTCACAGATCTGTCCCTGAGTTAAAGGCATGGTGTACCCAGAGTACATAAAAAGAAGAGGATGAGAAGAATTTATTTGTTTGTTCAGCTACAAATTGAAAGAAGTTGGACTAGCACGAATGTTTGGGCATGTAAATCCAAAACCCTAGGTGTTATAATACGTCAGTCAGTGTGAGAAGAACAGAGGGTGGAGAAAGCAGCCTGCTGTCTACATTTAAGCATTGGTCAGACTGTAAAAAAGAAATTGGGCAACATTCTCTATGTTCTTCTTATTTCATACTATCTTATAACTTCATGTGATAATTGAATAGCAGATTATGTATACATTATTAAATATTGTTGTTAGGAGTTGTGCTCTTAAGAAAATTTAAACAGTAACAATAATGGGCAGGAAAGCACTGTAACAAGTTCAAGAATGTCTATATATTCCTTTATAATGATTATGAATTGGGTCAACTTTATTTTATCAGTCCTCTTTTGTTGTATAATTTATAGTGTAAGTAATCATATTAAATAGAGATATTTTAACAGAGGGAGAGAAATGTTTGAACTTGACTATAAGGGAATTCAGATGTAAATGGAGCTACCAAGAAAAGTTGCAAAAACCTCAGAGTTATAAAACACAAAGTGCCTATTGCAAAACGCAAAGCAAGACAAAACAACACAGAAGTGAGTAGACTGTGTGATGATTATGCCATCTGGCATTTAATTATCACGCTTTGATCATCACTGCATGCAACTATATTAAAGTTTATTAGCCTTGCTGCTCTTGATTTAAGTAAACTTTGAAGTATATTAATATCATAAAACCAGCAAATAAAAGGAAATGAAATGTTAATACCAGAATTTGTTAGACTAATATTCTCTTTTGTAGAGAAAATTAGCTTACCTTCCCCACCCCCACCCCCCACCCCATTATTTTGTAAGCACTGGGATAATTTACCAGGACAACTTTATCTTAGAGAGAATCACTCACATCTGGAGGGAGCCTTGTTTTCATAGGACATTGTGTAAGACCATTGGAGGAAATGTGCTAAACAAAATACACTTCATGAAATTGTAGACTACAAGGAATATCTATGTACATAGCAATAGAGATTTTATTAGGAGGGTTAGACACGATTTCATGCCACAAAACAAATTTAGGGGGGAAATGTTACATTAGCTTTCTAAAGTTAACAAATATCACATAATAATTCACTTATTATATGCAACAAAATGTATCTATGGCCACAAGTCTATGTTCCTTTCCTTGATGTCAGTAGGTATAAGGGATGAGTAACACTAAGGATAAAAGAAACATCATGCATGCAGAGGCATAAAACTCCGTTGTCCTTTCTGTTCTAAGATCCTGGGTTACTATTAAATCCTGATGTTTCAAAAACCCAAAATATTCCCAGTTACTGTTTTGACACTGCAAGCAACTGAAAAATTATGAAAACAATGCTCACAAAAGATGTATTTTCTAACCTAGTATCAGACTTTTAAGATTTTTATACCTTGCCTTAGCTATTAATACTTTAAAATTTTCAACATAATTTAATAACTGTCTGATAATAAACTGAAAACAGAATCTTCTGAATTTCCTTATCAGAAAAGGTCACAAAAGAAGAGGATTCAGGAAAGTAGTATGTACTTATTTCTGCAAACTTAACATATAATTCAATTATAATTTGTAATTCATGCATGAGTGTTAATTTATAAAGATGAAATTAAATTTGCCCCACTCCTACCCCAACCAGTGGCAGGATTAGACTCTTTCTAATAGTACAGTGAAATATTTTGTAAAACCATAAACTCTTACATATATCTTGTAACATATATCTTACTGAACAAATTACAAAATGTTAAGTAACTTCATAGCAATTTCTTCATTTTTTTCTTGCTCAAATCTATTGTGTGGTAACTTAATCCTTAACAGACTAAACAGACCTGCACTAAAATAATAAGAACTATTCCCTTTGCTTTTTGTACTAGGTAGTTGTAAGAATTACAAACAATAAATAATGGAAATCCTTTCTGGGTTTGTGGTTTTCAGAGGAAACAAAGTTGGATATTTGTATCTTGTCCTTTAATTGGCTCCTTAGTGTCTTCAGAATCATGTCTAAACTATTTGGTCTAGCATTTTGTCATCTGGATTCTCTCACTCTTCATACATTATCTCTTGCCGTTGTTGTCACAAACTATATCCTCCAGCCAAAGATCATTACTTTATTTCATTATATTCAGAACTTTCCTTAGGGTGTGTACCTGGAAGCTCACCCCCATTCCATCATGCACACTTACAAAAAAATTAAGTGTATTTTAAGGTCTATCACATCTGTCTCTCCTTCTTCAACCATTCTTTTATATCTTCTCCTCCCCAAATCTGAAAGTAAATCTGTCTACCTCCAGGGCTTCAAACTTCTTTTAAGCACTGTTTTTGTAAAACACATTATTTTTACTTATATTATAGTTGTTTAAATTCAAGTCAACTCTAAAGTCTAAGTGTCTTAAATGATTGTTTACTATGAATGAATGTCCTACAGAACAAATTTGAAGTCAATATGCCTTGTGAGTGTGCATGATCAAACTATTTTCTGTCATCATCACTTTTTAAGTGATGCTATTTTATATAAAGTGTCTATATATAAATATCTGTGCCAGCTGCCTTTGCCCTATCCCTTATGTTTTCCTCTATACCTTTGAGCAGTTTCAATGGATGTTCATTCTCTGTGTCTGCTAGCTTCAAATCTAGGTCATTTCAAAGTTTGCCTTTATTGGTTGCCTTTTCTCTTGGGTATGGGTCAAAATTTTCTGTTTCTTCATGTCTAATAATGTGGATTGTATTCTGGAGATTATAAATAGTATGTTGTGGAGACTCTGTATTTTGTTATGTTCCATTGAAGAGTACAAATATTTTGTTTCATGGCTGAGCCCAAAGTCCAAATTCTGCTATCTCAGTTCAGTTATTTTGCCTTTAACTCTGCTGTGTAGAATCTATCCAGACATCCAAAGCTCAGATGTCAGTTAAAGACTTGAACAGAGTTTATATGCAAGAAATGGGGTTTTCCTTTCTGTAACTCTCTTTTCTCCAGCAGCTGAGTTTACCTGGAAGTTGTCCTTTGCTTTCTCATTCTAAATGGATAGCGTGTTTCTTTCTGAATTTTAGCAACCCTACTAAGATGGTAACTTTGAGCCCAACATAGCTAATTTTCACTACTTTCTACCACCACACTTCTGTCAAGTGTCCTTGGAATTCACTCAGTCACTTCAGAATGAGAGCTATTGACTGTAAGTATCGAACATGCAAAGATATAAAACAAGTACAGTTACATTAAAATAAACATATCTTTTTAGACCTATCTACCACCATGTGAGATTTTTCATTATGTCCCTATAATAATGTAAAAAAGACCCTCGGTTTCCCTGTTGTCATATCTCTGACTAGATTTATACATTCAAATTAGTAAGGATAATACAAGGTGGTGTTGAGTTCAAGCTCACTTTCTAATCCAGGCTTACCAGTACTGAGTCAACTGCTTTCATCTCACTTTGTTATGGATTCCTGTGGGAACACTCCGTATGTGAGCATTTTAGAGGGAAAGAAATAAGATTGGTCAGGGTTCAGGCACCAAATCTCATCCAAAATGGTCACCATAAATGATAGAAATAGAAAACACTTAAGTGGTTTTCTTAAAACTTAAACTGTGCCAGAAACAGTTACTCCAGCACACCATATTATTTAATTCATTCAACTCTCACCAAACCCTGTGATGGTTACAGATGAAGAAATCAAGGCATAGGAAGTTTAATGGCTTCTCCACGGTCATACACCTAGTTAATGGTATAAGTTACCTAATTCAAGAAGCATCGTTTCATTAGAATCTTTATAAAACACTGGGCACGAGAAGCCTAACTTTGTGAGCAACATTCTCTTTACACACACACACATTACCTGAAACCCCCATATATTACAAGATTAAAATAAGGAAGAAAATTTCTCTCACACTTCACCTTGGAACATTAAGCAATTTCAAGTGATATAATATCCATTGGCAGTGGTGGTGGTTCCCATTAGAACACATGATGCCAAATCTAAGTGGAAGTACCCATCAGAAACAAAGTGGTTAGTGGGATCTGTGTTCAGCAATCCCAGCAAGATGCCCTGAAAAGAATCCTGTGACAGGAGAAGGAAGCATGAGGATATTTATGGGCATAAATGAGACAAAACCCAGTGGCCTCACATAGATACACACCTGGGCTGGATTTTAGATATGCTAAATAGGTGGTGAATAAGAAAAAACAAAAACAAAAAAAAAACATTGCTATTCTGTGATTCCATTTGCAATATCAGATCGGTGGACCTGGAGAAAATCTTGACATACATATAAAAACTTGATATATAGAGAGATAAATATATACATATTTAATATATTTAACAAGAATAACTCACTATATCAATCATGCCAACATTTGGTTTTTATGTCACACTTTCCCATTAAACTTTGTCTATAAGATCTTAAGCACATGGACATTTGATGTTCACTCAAATAGATTTTAAAGGACTCCTTGCTGCTGTTACACATGTCATAACAGAAGGAACTCAGCTTCAGAAAAAGAGAAACTCAGACTAACATATTGGGAAGAGGAGTAGAAAAGGATGTCCAGTGGTTCGAAGTGAATTGAGGGGCTATTCAGTTCCAAATAAGAATGAACTTTCCTATGCCTTTCTGCTTATTCAGTGGGCTGCCGTGAGAAGTAATGTGCTCCCCTTCATTAGCTATACCATGTGTTCTTGGAAGTGCTGTGAAGAGTGTGCAGGTCTTAGGCAGGCCTGGATGAACACTGGGTTCTCTCCTCCTTGGAGATTCTATTACTGTAGGCACTGCTGCAAGCATAACAGAGTCCTGTAAGAAAAAAAAAATACCAGACTTCAAGCAGCTAAGGTTAATCATATGAAGACAAAAAATAGAAAAAAATAAAATGAAAAACACCTTCTCATCTGTGCTGAAAGCACCCTTTCTTATATTCAAATTGGCACTAAAAGAATATTCAGAGTTCCCTTACACCATTTAAAATTATACAGATGGAATATCAGCTAACATTTACAGTGCTTGCTATTTGCAAGATCTAATGGTTCCAGTAGCTGCATGTGAGTTATTATCAGAATCTCCTAACAAATTCACGTGGCAGGTCTCATTATCTTTGTATTACAGATGAGGACATCTGTGCACATCAAGGCTAAATAGCCTGCCAAGGGTTACAGAGTTAGTAAACAAAGAAGAAAGGATTTGAACCTACATAGTCTGACTCTCAAATCCACACTTCTGCTATGCAATGGAGATAATAGTAACGATAGAATTAATAGTAGTTACCAAGAGCCAAATGTGTTCTGTTGGTAAAGCTAAATCCTATACTGTGCTTATGAAACTATAGGAATCTTCTTTAATCTTATCCACAACCCAAGCAGATACAACTGAGAAGACTAACTCATTTCTTGTCTCCGCAAATGGAGAATGGATGAGGATTTGAGCTCAGGCATGCATACGTGTAAGATCCCTGTCCTTGAGGCTCTTTATGTAGTTTTGTACAGGTATGGTCTACCCACCTCATTATCTCATGTCATCATTTTTCTGTGTGTGCAAGTCCAGTTGTCTCCATTTTCCCCCAACTTCTCCCTGCTCCCTGCCTATCCCCACCTCCCCCCCTCGACCTTATCCTCCTTTGACATTTGGTGTGGTCTGACTCTATTTTGCCCTTGTTCTCTCTCTCTCTCTTTCTCTCTCTCTCTTTCTCTCTATCTCTATCTCTCTCTCTCTTCTAGGAAA